TCATTTGAACATGGCCTATGATGCGTTTGAATACCATTCTCCCAAACACCAGTATCCCACGTGAAGCAAAGCCGCCGCTGCGTTTCTATGGAGTGTGCTGCCACGCCCCTTTCAACTCCGCGACATAGGGTATATGCATGCGTTTGAGAATAAGAAGGGCTATAATGACAGAAATCGCGCGGTCGAATTCTGGGGTCTGCGAAGCGTCCACGTTGCGTTGCTCGAAGAGACATTCTTCACTGGTCTTGTGGGCCCAAAGATGTGCTTTAAGACGGGAGGGAAACAGGAGCATCAAAGAGGAAACACACAAGGTATGAGTCTCCATCCATCCGGTGATCGTGGACTGAGTTTTTGACTAGACCGACTTCGTCTGGACTGGGCGAGATAGGGAGATCGGGGCATCATTCTTGTTACCTGTTTGGGGATCTAGGAGGAATAACGACAGTAGATTTCTAGGGCTGTAGTCTCACAGGGTTCAGTTCGGCTTGGTGGGGGCACTGAGTGGCACTGTGCTAAGTCTGTACAGATCACCTTCAAAACCTGTAAATTCCCATGATCGAAAGGGCTTAATCGCAGCTTTTCACAGCTTCACAAGAGTTAACAAGTCCATCAAAGTGAGACCTGTCATTTAATATGGGCTAACGAAAAAAAATAGAAGTGCCCCCCCCCGATCCACCGAACCGAACAGCGCCGTCTCATATTCATGAATCTAAGCGTACAGTACAGTAGCTCACTTTTTTCACAGGGTAACAACAAAGTTTCGGAATTATAATATCTTTTTTTCAGAGCCTGCTCCACCTCCACCTGCAGCACACAGTGAGCTTTACATTCTATAGTGAATTCTATTTCTCAGTGTTTTTTGAACTTCCCTATCCATTGATTTTTTGCGCCGGTATCTCACGAGGATCGGAGACAGTCAAATCTTTCTTTCTTTTCTAAAGGGTCTGTAGACGGAGATTTTCTAATAAATCGGGAATATTCTGACCACCACGCCTATGGCCACATATGGTCAAGCATCACGTCACGGAAAATCGCTCGGCGTGTATGACCTCCTCTAGAAGGAACTGTAAGTGTCTCTGCGATCTCCACCCCCCCCCCCCTTCCCCTCTGATGGGCTGTAGCGAAAAGCAGAAGCACTAACTTTGCCACTGCTTTGTTCACTACTTACTTAGGCTCATATTTCCCCCTCCTGCCTACCGACAGATCGCGTACGACCTCCCATCGTCGTGGGATACGTGACTTACTCTTGACCCTCATAGCAAACCCAACAACGTTTGAAAGCTTGTTTACGACTGCAATCGCTCGTCAGAGTTCAGGCGAAGGATAGTGTCACACTCGAACATCGCGTCTGCGCAGCTCTTACCTTACTATATTATTAGCTCGCTTTTGTTGCTTCAATTCTTCTTCCCGTGAAAGAGATTGGGAAAGGTAAATCACGTACGCGTGGGTACAAATCATGGGCACTTATGTATGAACCCTATTGAATAACTGCGCAGTAGCACTGGCAGAAAAGCTCGACCTTGTTTTGTCTCTTCGGAGTAATCTTATTTAGCTATTGAACAGCATAACGACTCTCTTTGTCCCTGAGGACGAGGTTCATAAAAAATATTTCCTTCAGGGCGGTTAGGGGGACTTGAAAAAAGTTGCCCTGCACCGCTTGCATAGGCGATTGGACTGGATTTGCCCGAGATTTCTACTCAGATCATTATAGGACTTGGGCTCAGTTCTCTCTCAGGGGGTATTGAATGGTACTTAACGAGTCCTGGCCACCCTGTGAAGTCCTGTTAACCTTGTTGCTTTTCGCAGTTTGACAAGACTTTACAGGTCGCACCGAAATGAGACCTGTTCGGTAGCTTGAAATGGGAGAAGGATGTAGGGATAGTGCGAAATGCACCTCCCAAGCGGAATATTACCTAATGGTTTGTTTCTACCGATAGCAAGGAAGTGTTGTTTTGGTACATAGCGTCGTTTCCAACGCTCACATCTCAGAAAACTGGTCAATTTTTTTAGTGGGTGATTTGAACGTTGGGGTAATTTTCAAATCATTTACGAATAGCCTTGATTGAACATCGCATTTTTCAGAGAAAGGCACCCTTTTGATGGCGAATATGGCCGGTGATGAAGTGCTGTTGAATTGTACAGTATCAGTTGGCGGTGAGCCAACAGCCACCGAGGACGATGTCGTGTGGACTCGTGACGGTAAAGCGATGAATCTCAACGATACTAGCAGTGAGTTTTGTCGCGGACGATCCTTACTTGGATTACTCATCCGACTGAATAAGTGCCTTTCTCGCCTCGAGTCGCGTGTAGTCGCTTACTGTCGCTGATTGCTTAACCAGAAACTTTCCTGATTTCCCCTCTTCCATCCCCCGTCTGCAAAAAAAGGCGCAGTTTGGCGACGTGGGGGACATTTTGCACTTTCGCTGCTTCACTACTTCCGATTTACAAGTCTCACTCTGGTGAAACCTGTGAACTCTTGTGAAGCTGCAACAAGCTTGTCGATCCACCATGTTAAAACCTGTCACTCTTGCAAGCTCGCAAAATGGCTCACTAGATGGATGGATAGGAGGTAGCAAAAGTGCAAAATGCCTCTCCCCGTTGCCAAACTGCCTCAAAAAAGTGCTGTCGACAAGAGGGTCATCACCTGGTGTAACTTTCAAAAATGGTTTTTGTATACACTTACCGTGCACATCCCGGCGATGGGCTAGGCATGCTGCGTACTCTCCTTGAGCATGGCGTCGAATGCGCTGTTCGTGGGATGTTTCCATTTGACACAAATGTTATCTCAAGTTATCTCATCTTGTACTAGACAAAATCATGGTTGCAATGATCTGAAAATGTCCCTCCAGAACCGCCACCTTTGTATGAAGTACGCAATTACGGACTCTCCATCTCTGGGATATGGAGTGTGTATAAGGAAAGTATATAAAGCGTAGTTTGCTTTCAATGAATGTGATTAACCTCCAAACCTTCAATTATTATTATTGACCGTGAATGTTAGTGCGTTATGAATTGAATGGACACGTACATATTTGTAAGTGGCGAAGGTCAACCGAATGAAATCATAGAAGCGCGTTAAATTTGAAATTTGCATAACGAGATTTAGCGCTGTGTTGCGCACTCGTCCGTTCACTGGCCGGCTGACGATGGGGTTGAAGAGGAGCGGATAAGAGGTAATGGGATCACGTCCCATCACCAATGCACGTCACTGGGGTTACGTTTGGTTCCCGTTTCAAGGGATATGGAGAGGTATGATAGGGAATATTAGAGGACTAAAATGAAGTGAGTAGCTTGAGTTATGTTAGACCACGGTACAGCATATGTCGGGGGAATAAAGAGGGGTTTTTCTTTTTGGAATGGGGTTACTTTCTATCAAACATCTGTCTCGGAACATTACGAGAACTGAATTTTTGGATGTAGCCCAGTATTCAAGGTCTGCATGGATTTCGAGTCAGAATGGTGTCAGTTATTCTGCTAGAGCCAAGTAAGGTGGGGGGGGGGAACGGCGAATTGGAGGTTGGTGCCTTTGCTCACGAAGTTCATTAATTGTCTACTTGAATAACTAGTTAAGCGGGTACATTTTTTAGAACTACAAATATGGGAAAGTAAAGCGATCGGCCGGTGTCGTCGTGCATACGGTTCGGATTCGCCAAGCGACGATGGAAGACGATGGCGACTATGCCTGCGAAAGCCGACATCAACGAGCTAGCCAGATCGTACACGTCAATAGTACGTTTTTGTGTTATTCGCTTCGTTTGAGTGCTTTAAAGACAAGCTGGACCCTCACCTCCGTGGATCCTGATTCCTGCTGTGTGTGAGGTGAACCACGTTTTCCGCTCAAAACTGCACGGGAACGGGCAAGAGGGTAGTGGTACCCGGATGCCATTTAGGACTCCGCCCACGCCATTCTCAGGATGCAGCGCTTGCGTCGATGCAGAGGTCTAGCAGCGGAACCCGCACTCAGCCAGTAGAGAGCACTTACTAGCTGCAGAGTTACGTAGCGTTCGGCTATGGTCAGGAGTGCGGCAGCGCGAGCGAATCCGGATACGGCACCCATGCAGTCCCGTTCCCACTGCATTTTTGAGCGGAAATGTGGCACGTTATCGCAGCTTCGGGCCCACGTTCCACAGTATTCCCCAGCTAGTTGGATCAGAATCGCCGATCGAATATACGTCGAATCAGTTATGTTTGCGTACGAATGTGGCTCACGAGCGTAGATGCAGTATCGTCCTGAAAAGCTACCTAAAAAGGAGAGCTGTTGTCTGGTGCCAAACTTCTGCGCTATCAAGTGACCTGGACACTGTAAATTACTCTGAATGTGCCCAAGAGCGAGTAAAGAGCTATAAAAATGGGATGCAATGTTCAGCCGAATACGCTCAATGGCGCCGAGATTGTCGGTCGGAGCAGCGAAAACTCACCGAGTTCGGGGAGACTCGATGTCTGATGATATCTATCCTTCGTCCCTTCAACATTCTTAAATGAAACAGTCGGGCGAGACAACTCGTCTCTCCTGACGTGACGTCGCTCGCCACGCCCACCAGCAGGGATGACATTGATAATGATTTGCTTGGCTCGTGCCCATAAAAATATAAAGGCGGTGCGGTCGTTAGTAGAGATTCGAGTTGCGGTGGCGGAAACAGCATCTGGTGGGCATCTGCGGGCAGGCAGTTTGGGTCGCCCAGCGGAAATGAAGCCTTTACGTAGCCCGGCGTGCGGTGACGCTGGTCTTGTGCTCAGCAAGCGGTTAGCGCAGATACAGCAGGGACTGAACCCTTCAAATGCATGTGTGTGGAACTGACTATCTCTTGAAAGTTGCAGGCCGGAAGGGGTGATCCCAAAATTGGAACGTATAGTCCGAGGCAGGCGGTTCGCAGCTTTCGCGTTGACGAAGGCGTGAGCGCGCTTGTAACCATAACAGGATCGATAAAACGGCCGGATCCTCGCTGGCCGCTGGAGAGTGTATAGGACAACAGGGCGGGCGCTGTCTTCACACAATTTGGTACGCTCCCATTCTTCCATACTTTCCCGTAGTCCTAGCGGCCAGTGCCGGCTGGTACCAGACTGCGTGATTAGGCACCAGGTACTCTGTCGTTCCCCTCTACTCCCTACTGCGAGCGCGTCATCGCGAAGTCTGAACGCTATTAAAGTGCACATCATCTTGTCAATGACACCTTTTCAGAAGCCGAGGCACAACGAAGTTCATCTTTGTCGTTGGCGATGTTATGCACTGAACTGGCGGTCCTTATGATTGTTGGACGAGTTTTATGACACAACATTGTCGTCGAGGGTATCTCATTCCGCTCACATTCTCATTATTCATTATCAGAACGAAACATATTTACCATATTTGTACACTTGTATTCCACCAGAAAGTATTATCATGATGGTATTGTTTTTAGTGATATTTATGATAGGTCTTGTGGGTAAACATTGGTGAACGTTCCCCTCTGTCCGAATCATCCGTTCTTTCAGCCATTTTTTTGGTTTTGCGATTTTAGTGTCAATCGATTGATCGATCTTTGCCATCATCATTGTTCTCATTGCATACATTTGAATGAAATTCTCAGGTTTTGTCAGTTAGCAAGGCTTATACTTTTCAGCCGATTCGAGCGATTCAGCGGTCCAGATACTTGGCTTGCCAAATACAGAGGAGTGCATGGTACTAAATCAGTCAAATGCATATTCCGCGATAACCAGATGGGTGGAGACTTATAACCATTTGTGTCATCCCTGTTAGCGCGTCCCTCTTCCTATAAGATTGTTGAAAAGGGTTGGCGCATCATTAAGGAAGTCATAGTGGTTATAAGTTTCCTCTCACCCGACTGCAGAATCTGTCTCTGACGAAACTGAATTCAGTGAATGTCTATGAACGTCGTAGGTAGCTCTTCCAGAGGAACTGGAAGAGCTACCTACGACGAACTGGAAGTGGGATTGAGATCAGTTTCAGGGACGTTACGCGCGCGGTTGCGCTGCAGCTTCTGTCTAACCAAGGAAGGTCAATAGTCAGTCCGGCCATTTGTAGTATGATGTACACCGCGTACACGTCTTGTGACGCTGAGCTCGGAACTTTCTTTAAAATTTGCTGAACGACTTTCTGAATAGAGATTACAGAGGGTTTTGTCCCCGCCTTGTTGTTTCACACGCTATCTCATGAAGTTGTGTTCAGCTAAAAGAGGAGAGCGTAATCGGACGTGGCAGTGGAGAGCAACTGGTAGTGATCGGGTTTGATGGGTATGAAGTCACGGGTTCAGTTCCCATGGCTCCACGCTTTTTTGCCTTTTCTAGGAGCATGGTCGGCAAGGCTTGGATTATCCCTGCTCGCCCGTTCCCGCCTGTAAGAGGGCCTGCGACCAGCTTTTCATCAGTGTAAACCTCTCGTAGCCTCAAAGGGTGCTTGTGTTTTTCCCTCTCGTAGCGCATGTCACAAAAGTTGTTGCACTAAACTAGTGGGATATTCAGGTTCAGTAGGTCAAATTACCACCAGTATCGATACTTTTCTAGCCTAATGTGAGACGTGCACTCAACTTCGAAAACGTGGGGTATTATATGAGTATGTGTGAACGCACTGGAGCTCACCTATCACTGATGACTATTCTTATTAAAGTCAACCCCCCCTACTGTCAGGAAAATTATGAACATGATGCCAACACGTGAGTCAGATGCTGTTCTTTGTGAAAATGCATGGCCAACAGTTAATTCAGCTCGAATACCAGTCATGGTGATGGGCTTGACCTACTCTCATTATTCAGTCACCAGTCGGATCGGCCGGCTTCGCCGCCCGGTGAGAAGTTTTCCCTGAGTGGGAGGGCCAGTCGGAGCGGCCGGCTTCGCTGGCTGATCCTTCCGCGAGTGAAGTGGGTCCCGGTGAGTTTTCCGTGAGTGGGAGGGCAAGATGTAGGGATCGGAGATGCCTACCCGTCTTTCACCCACTGCAAAGTTTTGAGCGGGTTTGATTTTACAGCCATTTGTTTGTGACAGGGAGTCGTAGCTGAGTGAGAAGGTAGGAGCGGGGGGGGGGTCGTATTCAGCTGAATTCCCCCTCAGGAATTCATATCTTGAGCTTTGAGAGCACCGTGAGCACTGTGGACGCGAGTTGAATTTGATCTACGTATTGCTTTACCGATTCAAGTGATCTATTGAGCTCTGATCGATGTCTCGCCACAACATCTCGTTCTTTTGAAAATCATTTTTGTCTTCTTTTTATGGCTGCCTTAACTCGTGCGATACTGAACAAAAAGTTCCTGTACGAAAATCTCGTAATTCCCTGATCACGTACCTTCGCAAACGAGTATTCTCATCTGCTCTCTTGCTTTACTTCTGTTTTAGAATTTATTTGAGACTGACTTTTCCAAACGTTTTTGATCCAAACTGTACA